CTGTCTCCTTTTGAAATTATTACTGGCAGACCCATGAAATTAGGTCAAGGAATGCATGAACCCACACTGCCAAAAGGAAACCTCCTGCTCCACTATAGGAACTTATACGGGCCCTTAAGAATAACAGTTGGTAGAGCAAAATTTATATAGCGTGCTCCCAGGAGAGGATCTACAACATCATTATCTCCAACTTGGAGATTATGTCTATTGGAAATGCCATCTCCATAAAGATGCCCTTCACCCCCAATGGAGAGGGCCATATCAAGTATTACTAAATCTTGTGCTATTAAACTTAGGGGTATTGACTCATGGGTTCATGTTTCTCATTTAAAAAGGACACTCACACTTGAGTGGCCCTTAGCCTATTGGAGGTCGTAAGCTGAAAATCTCTAAATAATCAAAGATACCATTAGAATTTTCATTCTGGGTTTAAAACAGATGACACCTGATGTAGACAGCTCTCTCAAGACCCTGGACCAGGGCAGTCATACGTGATTCCACCCAGCAACCCTTATACTTCATCTTCCCTTTAACCACCTTTGTTTCATTTACTGATTATATTATCATTGCCTAATTTTTGCCTGAAAAAACTCTTAATAAAATAGTCTTCCTTTTTCTAGCTCTTTAGTGTAAATTTCAAGATGAACATACTCAGATTCTTATGTCTGCTTGCTGCAATGACTACCCTATTTGCTCTTCAACACTCTTTTGCTCCCACTATCCAACGATTATCTAACAGTGTCAATTTAACTGACTGTTTGATATGTACCCAAGCTAATTATATTCATGATGAACCAGAATTAGTGGCTTGGCCCTTAAGCCTTGAAAGCTTATAAAACCTAACGACATATGGAACATTTAACCTTCCTGTAGCCAAATCTATCTATAAGGTCTTCCCAACCTACAAGGGAATGCCCATAAATACAATCTGGACTTATAACTTGTCAACTGTTTTGAAAATATAAACAGTTCAGGCAGAATCTGGGGTTTTGTCCCTTTAAAAATGTATAACTGCAGTCTTTTGTATGATTCAGCTGACCATGAGTTCATATCCCAATGAGTCTTAAGTGACTGCAGTGTTACTCTTACAATGTCTCTCTAATATGGGGAAAATCAGGAAATAACCCCACTCAATCCTGAAAAGCAGATGTCCTCTCGCTCTTAGGGACTAGATAAAAAAAAATCTGGTATTTGGTGGGAAACAAATGAAATCTCTTAGATTTCAAAAACTTGGAGCAACCAAACCCATGCTAATCTTTCAATCCTGACCCAAACATATAGAAACCTCAGTTCTATTAATTACTCTCATGTATGATGACTTTAATGTCTTCTGCATTGGTAACTATTATGATCATCCAGCATATGGAGAAATAGGACTTAATACTTCACTCAGAGTCTGAGTTGAAAGGCCTAATTACATGTTCTCACTTGTCTTATTAGGTGCCTTGAACAATGACTAAGAGCCACTACCGTAATAATAGTAGCCCAATGCCCAGAGATGTTACAACAAATAAATCTTGACTAAGACCACTTTTACAAAGAACTTTTGATCTGAAGAATATGTGACCTAGCTCAGCTTTTAGCAAGCCTCCCTGTTGCTTAAATATGGCCATAAACTCTCCTATAGTACACTCAGGAAACTACTTTTTCTCCTACATGGGACATGACATACCAGGAATGAGCCTTCCTGGTGATGGGGATCAATATTGCCTTTTCAGTGATGGTCCAGGGATGATTCTTAATGACTTATCATCGACGCTTTCTAAGGAAAGATCTCTATCTAAAGAGAGAACTGTGAGAGAAAAACAGAAAAATGGAGTTGATATTGTCAAGAGAACAACCTAAAATGGAGGCTAAGGACTCCAGAAAGCTGAATTAACACCCCCACCCCCCATGTGAAACTGAACTTTTGAACTAGGCTAAACCACAAATGGCTTCATCCTGCTGATACAGTTCTAGGAACTGGCTCTGCATCACTGAACTCTCTACTAAGAAATAACATTTTCACCTAGCAGTAGACAAAGCAACAGTCATGTACAGATAGCATAGTGTAAGTCTGCTTGACAGCACTAATCACAGCTCTTTTAAAACAACTTGTATTATCCCCTTTGTCAGTGCCACTCTTTCTGTCTTTATAACCCTCCCCACCCCCAGGACACAGTTGGATTTCTTCCCAAATTTGTAGCTCCAGAATTGCAATTCCTAAGGATCCCAAATAAAACTTTTTTTTGCTTTGCAGTTCTTTGTCATAATTGCAGTTCTGGGGGTCTAATTCCTAAGGACCCCAAATAAAGCAGTTCTTGGTCAAAACACCAAAGTTAGAAACCAAGAAGAAAAAGATTGATGTATTTGGTTACATTAAAATATGATCTTCTTTATGGCAAAAAGAGAAAAGCAGCAAAGTCAAGTAACTAGGAAAAATATTTGCAATATGTATGAAAGTGTATGGGCTTTTTTAATCTTAATAATATAAAGAATCCCCACAAACCAATAAGAAAAATCAAAACAAACAAGTATTATAATAGAAGAATCAGAAAATACTCAAAGGAAAGAAATACAAATCACCAATAACGTGTAAAAGGATATTTAACCTCATTAGATATAAAAGTCACAGTTTGTCTTTTAGTTTGGCAGAGACTTAAAAAAATAGTAATACCCAGGGTTGGCAATAGTGGGGGAAACTGTCCCTTTTATCCTCTGCAGATGAGTGGAAATTGATAAAAGCCTCCTAGGAGGACAGTTTGGCACTATCAAAAGTCCTAAAAATTTTTTTTAAAATATATATTTATTGATTTCAGAGAGAAGAAGGGAGAGAGAGAAAAACATCAATGGTGAGAGAGTCATTGATCGGCTGCCTCCTGCACGCCCCCGACTGGGGATCAAGCCGGCAACCTGGGCATGTGCCCTGACCCAGAATCAAACCTCGATCTCCTGGATCCTAGGTAGATACTCAACCACTGAGCCACGCCCAGCAGGGCAAAAGTCCTAAAATTTTGCTTACCATTGACTCAACAGTTTTACTTCTGGTATTTTTTCTAGTTTAATTGACATATGTCATGTAAGTTTAAAGGAGGGGTGGGGAACATCTGGCCCACGGGTCTTATTATTTGGTCTGGCCCTGCCAATGCAACCATAGGCGGGACTCGAAATTCAGTAAATCTAGGAGCTTTTTTCATAGCGAATTTTTAAGTTGATAATTTTGCATGGCCAGCAAATAATGTTATAAATATCCAAATGGTCCTTGGGAGAAAAAAAGTTCCCCACCCCTGGTTTAAAGTGTTAAGCATGTGATGATTTGATACACTTATTTATTGCAAAATGAGTACTACAATAGGGTTAGTCAGCATCTCTATCACCTCTCATAATTATCATTTACTTCTGGTATTAGTTTCAAGAAAATAATCGGGAAAGCACACAGTATGCTCATCATAATGTCATTTATAATAATATAAATAGTTAACAGTTATATACAGCATATATTATAAACAAGGTACCTTTATTTCTCACAAAATATTATCCCTGTTTTAATAATTAGGATAGTGAAGCACAGAAAAAAACAGAGCTTGATCACACTCGTAGGGTTTAAACTCAGGCAGTCTGCCTCCGGAGTACATGTTTGTTTTTGTTTGTTTGTTTTTGTTTTCCTTTTAATTTTGGAGAGAGTGGAAGAGAGAGGGAGGGAGAGAGAAACATCAATGTGAGATAGAAACATGGATCGGTTGCCTGTCACAAGTGCCCCAACCCGATGGAACCCACAACCTGGGTATGTGCCCTGACTGGAAATCAAACCCGAGACCCTTGGGTACATGGGAGGACACTCCAACCAACCAGCCAGGACCAGAGTACATTTTTAATCACTATACTATATTGCTTTCTAAATCAGGCTAAATATTCAACTTAAGTGCCAGTATAGGATGCATTTAATAAGTTATGGAATAATACGCAACCACAATTATTTTTGTAAGAAGTGCTCGTAAGTATGTATGATCTGATGTCATTTTTCTTCAAAGACTTTTTTTAAACCCAAAAAACATCAAAACTAATATTTTTCTTTGGGTAGTGGTACTATGGGTAATTTTAGTTATAGGGGTTAAAAACATGGCCTTTGCATTGAGAAAGACCTAGCTCTGCTCCTCTTTTGATTGTGTAGTTTGTGTTGCTATTTAAGCTCTGGATGCCTCAATTCCCTCATTAATAAAATTCAATGACCAGTCTCTCAAGGGTGTGTGTATGTGTGCATGTGTGTGAGAGAGAGAGCAAGAGAAAGAATATTAAGTGACAGTGTATACATAGCACACTTAGTACCCCTACTGGTGAGTGTCCAATAAATTTAGAAATACTTATTCTTATCATTGGTATAATTTTTTCAAATTGTCTGAATGTTTCACAATAATAATACATTACTTTTATATTCAGAAAAGTAAAGCCACTTCTATTTTGGAAAAAAGGAAAGAAAAATACTTCCAGAGAGAGAGCTCAGAATGCTTTAAAATTGATCTGCTACTTGTTGCCCTCAAGTGAATATTCAGTAATACTGGGTTTGTTTGTACTAGGTCCCAAAAATAAGAATGAAGGAGGGACAGTACTAGTACTGTTCTAAATGAGCAGTGCTGGTACTGTATAAGCATTTGGTATGTAAGAGGTGCGTAGCTAGAATGGCTAATAACAGGCAGGAACTACTGGAAGAGAGTAAGCACCTCCACCACGCTGTTTCTACTTCTCAGGTCTAGTGAGACTTGACTCTACCCAGCCGTAGTTCTCAACAGTGCTGTTTGTTCCAGTAAAGGCATTAGAGGCACTAGAAGGTGCACGTCCAGTGGGAAATAGGCTTGTTTTTCCCCCTGCTTTATGTATCTGTCTCCACACAGACATGTTTCTATATTCTTTGCTGTATTTTCCATCCTCCAGTTGTCTGTTAGGACCACCAAAACACTGACTATGGAATAAACATTCGTATTTATAGGAAAAGTTAATTTTTCAAAATCACGTATTTATTGCAGATTTTACATCCTGAAGTCCAGACTCTAGATCTCCAGAGCTGTGATATTTCAGATACTGCTCTGCTGCACCTGTGCAACTGCAGAAAACTGAAAAAATTAAATTTGAATTCCTCAAAAGAAAACAGAGTTTCTATAACTACAAAAGGTATGTTTATTAACACTGAATGAATTGGTAGATTACTATTCACCATCTGGTATAATTTAGGAGCAAAAAAAAAAGGGGAAAAAAGAAAGTATGAAGATGTCAAAGAAATAGAAACTATCAACAAAAATATTTAAACTAAGATAAAGAATCCAGATTAGAATTCTTGCTTATGACCAGTGCTGAAAGTTAAGAAATACACTGGGTAAGTCACTACCTTGCGTTTTAGACATATTTAAAATAAACATGGATGGATACCTCCATATTTTAAATATTTTGCCTGATACAGTGGAACAAGAAATGACCAGTTCATACTTTGTTAAGGCTGTTTGGATACAATATTACAACAGAAAGTTATCATCAGATTAAATTTAGTAGGCACTCTCCTATCAGTCTGTACAGTGCAGTTTTTAAATATAGCCAGACAGCTGCATTTTAAAGTGTTACTATTACATTAATTAGTGAATTTTTACCTTTTTTTTTCAAAATAGGATTTTTTACCTTTTTCTTCACTATAAGAAAGAAGGACTTACTTGACTAAGTTTCTGGAAAATTTTATGGGTCATTGGCTACACTTTGCAATAATTTCAGTTAGCAAGTTAGGATTTTCACAATATTGCAAAGAAACATAAGTTTTAAAATGTTTATACAAATAATAACTCAGAACTTTCATTCTGTACGATGATGAATAAAACAGAAGTTCTTTCTTAAGATATGGAACAACATATGCCCTACACATAAATTTATCATCTTCTGCTTTGTGTATTTTGCCCATAAAGGTATCTTTCCCCAGCAGACTGAAGGGCCCAGGATCTTGAAGTACTCTTTTTTTTATGTGGCACATTATCATGTGCCAGTCTCCAACGTGCATTTGCATCAGTTTAATTAGATTTAAGGACTTCTCTTTTCTTGACCCTCAGTAATATTGGTCCAGGCTAACAGATAAGGAGCATGGTGGTAGAAAAGGGCAGAGTCAAAGAGAGAAGAGGGAATGCATAGACAGGTATGATTCCTAAGGATAAGCATGGAAACATTATTTAAGACATTTGGGCAATTTAACTTTGGTTTTTCTTCAGAGGCTACAAGAAAATGGGCTTTATTACTTTAAAATGTTTGTTTTAACAAAAAGGAGACTCATTTACTATTTAATTACCTAATATGGCTCTGAATGACTTGGCTATTTCCTAAAAGCAAATCTGCTCTCTACTCATAAACAGTAAAGGCTGACCATAAATGGCAGACATTCGAAGAATATACTACAGACTGTGTAGAGAATTCCTGAAACAGTCCAAAGACTTTTAAATAATGACGGCATCACTGAAAAATAAGTATATCCTCGCAGATGGACTGTTTTGAAAAGGGCTATCATACAAGTAGATATATCATCATATCAGTACTAGTGATCAATAAAATGAAAATCAGTTATATTTCTCATGTATATACTTTATAGCTCATTGATACATAATTGTGTTTTCCCCCAGGAATAAAAGCTGTGGCTTCATCTTGTTCATTCCTTCATGAAGCTTCTTTGAAAAGATGCTGCAGTCTCACTGATGAAGGAGTCCTTGCTCTTGCACGCAATTGCCGGCTGCTAAAGATTGTTGATTTAGGTGGCTGCTTAGGTATTACTGATGTGTCCTTACATGCATTAGGAGAAAACTGCTTTTTTCTGCAGTCTGTCGATTTTTCAGCTACTCAGGTAAATGAAATATAGACTTGAAATACAGAGGTTGTTTGTGTTTGCCTAATATATTTTCAGTGACTCATTAGAAGAACATAATTATTTTTGTTGAAATTGTTGACTACTTCATGCTTTGGTGGTCAAATAATTGCAGCATAATTTGGCACATTCTGATCAATTATTTTAAGTAAGGGTAGAAGATATGTGTGGCTAAAACGCATATTTGCTGAATGAGAGGCAGTAAAGTTATATCTAAATGATTAATAATTTTTAGAAAATTTTACTTCCATCATCTCCCATTTATGTGCTGTGTTGCTTTTTCCCTTTGCTCAGGTATCTGACAATGGTGTGGTTGCGCTTGTTAGTGGACCTTGTGCCAAGAAATTAGAGGTAATTAAAAAATATCTATAAAGATGATGCTAACTCAATTTTTACATTATTCTCAGAAATTATTTTTTAAAGTTAGCAGACAACCAATGCCTTATTATCAATTAGGTAATTCCATGGATTTTTGGGGTCTCTATCTCTTTATTCCCAGAGTAAAGAAAAACTGGTAAAGGAGGAGATAAAGTATACTTTAAAATAAAAACCCATTGCCCTGGCCAGTGTGGCCCAGCTGGTTGGGTGTCGCCCTGTGCACCAAAAGTTGCCTTTCAATTCCCGGTTAGGGCATGTGCCAGGATTTCAGGCTCAACTCCCACCAATTGATGTTACACTCTCACATCGATGTTTCTCTCTCTCTCCTTCTCCCTTCCTCTCCCTCTAAAAATTAATAAAAATATTTTAAAAAGTAAATAAATAAAAACCCATCTTACTTCCAATGAAAGTTCTTATTTTCCAGAAGTTTTAGCTTCTCACATATTTGAGGATAGTCTTACTTTAAATGAAGACTAAAAATTTATCAATGTAAAGTGATAGTCTTTAGAAGTTTCATGTCTGATTGATATTTCTACCAGGACTACTTATTCTCTTGCCATCATAGTTTTCTGAATCTATGAAGGGATCCATAAAGGATACCACTATGTCATAAAATTATTTTTAGCTGAAGGTTTTTGAGAATCAACCCATGCAAAAGAAAAGCTTTGTCTGAACTACCACCCTCGCCCCATCTGCCTAAAAGCAGAGCCTTCCAAAAGAATTCACTTGCCATCAAACCCTCTTCCAGGAAGACTTCCCACAGAGCAGAGATCTCTCCTATGACTGGAGAAGTCAGATAAGAAATTGCATAAACAAAAATTGTCAAAAGACTATCATACCTCCCATGTACTCTCCTAAAGGCCCATTTTGTCTTTCCCAAAAGTCATTTGTTTTTCTCTAAGTGTCCTTTCTCCCCGGCCCCTTCCCCTGTTAAGATGGTATATAAAAAAAAGACAAAATTCTAGCCATTTTGTTGAGCCACTTTCTCTTCAAGCATCCATGTGAATAAACTTTGTCTTTTTTTTCCTTGCTAATCTGTCTTTTGTCAGTTTAATTTTCAGGCCTCCAAGGACAGAATCTATGAGGATAAAGAAAAGGTTTTCCCTCCCCAATAGCCACACTGTACAGCCATTTTAAAAGATCTTAGATTAGTGTTTGGTTTTTGGATTCAATAACCTGTTTCTAAATATATTTAGAAGCCTTTTGTCCTTGGATTTAGGGCTCTTCTTTCACAATTTATAGTGTTTGTTTTTTAAAAATCTCTTATGTTTAATATAGCTGTGCTTGTCAATAATAAGTCACATCAAATCCTTTTTGGAAGTAAGCATGCTATAAATGAATTGTAAATGTTAGTAATAACTATTGTCATAGAATGGTGCTGCCATGTTTTTGCCAAAATATTTCTCCTTCTTGAGTTAATGCCCAAAGAGATTATTTTTTTGTGATATTTTATATATCTGCATCCTGCTTGTATGTATGTGTGTGTGTATAAAAAATAGCATATATTTATTTTTTATAAACCTTTTAATTAAGAAATTATCATCTTTTTCTTATGCCAAGTTCCAAATCCTAAATTGCATCCTAACTGTAGGGGCAATAAATTGCCATAATTTTTACTGTTTTAAATACTAATATTGTTCAATAATGTTAGTATTTCAGCCTTCATGCTCTATATTCATTAGGTTATTTCATTCTTACAACATTATCCTATATTCACCATCATTTTTAATAAAGTTCGCAAACAGATAACCTAGTTTATCACTTTCTAATAAAACCACCAGGAAATTAATTGTTATTGCATTGATAGGAAATATACCTACATATTTACTTTAGCATGATAAATTGGAGCACCAAGCTAAGCACTACATAGAGTGAATATACTTTCACCTATGGCTCATAGCATCTTGGTGCCCACAGTTTCTGAGAAACTGAAATAGAAACTCAACTGACTCTTCTCTTGTGGATATGTAGGCCTACCTCTTATCAGATGCCCTGTTTCAATCTGTGGCTTTTAATTTGTTCTAGTCTGGGAAATTAAATTGTCAATCTTGCTAAATTATTTATAACTTGAAAATAAATTTGATTAAAAATCTAATAACTTTTCCTAAAGCTTGACAGACACTTAGTACAAACTTATGTTACAGCATTTGTTCAACGTCATGAATGTTTCTGAAATCTATTGATCTGAGTTCCCAGTGAGCAGGGACCATTTTGTTCATCATTTTATCCCCAGGTTTTACTGTGGTTACAGACACATGCACCTCAATAAATGTTCTCATATTCTTATATTATAGTCATTTTACAGCTTTCTATAATCTTCATGATTAAAAGTTTAATTTGCTGTGTAAAATTATTTATTTAGTCAACAAATATTTATTAAGTACCTGCTATGTTCTAAGCACTAGCATATCAGAGAACAAAACCTGTTTATATGATGTATCATTCTTTTCTTTAATCATTTTTCTGTTGGTAATTCAGATTACTTAACTACAAGAAATAACCATATGTTGGGGCATATCACTTTTTTCTTCCATTGCTATCACAAACTAACAAAAATGGAACAAGTAGATCCATAAATATTAATACTTTTTCAATGGTCCTAAATTCATATTGCTAAATTGCTTCCCACATAGGTTATGCTGTGAATTCACAGTTTTTGCCAGGACCCAAATTTGCCAGATAAAATATTTTCTTTAATGCCTTAATTTAATATATTTTAAATGGAACTTGAGTCAAACACAGTTCCTTCCATTTGTTGTTCTCAAATTATATTTCTTTGTCTGTAGCCTTTGCCAGTTTATAACATAGGATACATTTTTGCCTCAATTTTTATGAGTTTTCAATATACTCAGGATTTCTTTATTTCTAAGATATGATTAATTATAATATTTACACCAACTTAATATAAACTTTTCAGGAGAAAAGAAATACACCTCAGCTATTAGATAAATCTTCCAGAATTGTTAAAAAAAATTTTAATTATGGTCAAATATACATAATCGCTTTTTGATATTTGTTTCCACCTTTTGGCTACTGTGAATACCCCTGCTATGAACACCGGTGTGCAAATATCTGTCTGAGCCCCTGTTTTCAATTCTTTTGAGTATGTACCTAGAAGTGAAATAGCTAGGTCATATGGTAATTCTGTGTTTGTTTGTAGAACCACCATACTGTTTCCACAGCAGCTGTACCATTTTATATTCTCACCAGCAATGCAGAAGGGTTCCAAATTAGAGCACCAAACAAAGGATATATAATATTTCAAACAAATGAAAAAGTATAGAAAGTAATATAACAGAGATCTATGGGCCAATCACTTGAATTTTAATATTTTCATTTTCTTCAGTTCTTTTTTAAAATTGTAAGTTATATCCAAAGCTCCTCCCTCACTTGTTCCCCCTTTCTTCCTTTAGAGGTAACCACTATACTAAAGATGCCTGTGTATCTTCCCTCATGTGTCTGAGTACTTCATCTTTCTCTCTATATAGTATTGTTTTAAAATTTTACATAGTGGTTTCATAATGTGTGTGTTCTTTCATAGTTTGCTTTTTTATTAAAAGTTGTTTTTTTAATTTTTCAAGCTTTATTGAGGTATAATTTACATACAGTAAAATTCACCCATTTTAAGTGTACAGGTGGATGAATTTTGGTAATTGTTATATAGCCTTGTAACCACTACCATAATTAAGATTAGAACATTTCCATCACCCAAGAAAGTTTTCTCCCGTATCTTTGTAGTCAGTCCCCTGCCATGGCCCTCCCCTCAAGCAGCCACTGATTTACTTCATCATTATAGTTTTGCCTTTTCTAGAATTTTATATAGATGTAGTCATAAAGTATATAGTGTTTAGGTTTTGTACTCTCTTTTTACCTCTTTCACTTAGCATAATGTTTTTGAGATCCACCCATGTTGTTGCATGCATTAATATTTCATTCCTTTTTTTTTTTTTTTCTGAGTAGTATTCTGTAGTCTGGATATGACACAGTTGGTTCCTACATTGACCATTTGATGGACATTTGGGTTGTTCCATATTGGGTTATTATAAACACTGCTGTGAACATTTGCATACAAGTCTTTATGTAGACATATGTTTTTATTTTTCTTGGGTAAACCCTGGGAATGGAATTGCTGGGTCATATAGTACATACATGTTTAGCTTTATAAGATACCATACTGTTTTCCGAAGAGTCTGAACTAACATTATGTTTGAGATTTTTGTCTAGTAATACAAGTAGATATTTTGTATTTTAACTGTTTTTATCTTATCCTATTATATTAGTAAACCACCATTTATTTACCCAGTTACCACTCCTTTGCTGTTACAAATAATATTGCAGTGGCATATTTAAGTTGTTTCCTTGCACACATGTACAGAAATTTCTCTCTATATAATGGACATCTGCAGTTAGAATTGCTGGGTTCTAAGGTATACCCATCTTTGGCTTTCATAGATATTGCCAAATGGCTTTATAAAATGGTTGGGCATTTAACTTATAAAGCTGCTATACTTTCCAAATTATTGCAGACTTACACTGGTCCTTTCTATAGGCTTTTTCTTACACGTAGACATTTGGTTCTTTTTGTATCAGAGGATTTCACAAGTTTTTTCATACTGTATTATAAACCTATTTTTTCTTTTGATTATCCTAAATAGGAGATTCATATGGGACATTGTGTGAATCTGACTGACGAGTCTGTAGAAGCTGTCCTCACTCGCTGTCCTCAGATACATATATTACTGTTCCATGGATGTCCCCTAATAACAGGTTAGTGTGATAGACTGCTTGGGCGCAAATCCTGGTTTTATCTTTTAATAACTGTGTGACCTTGAGTAAATTATTTCACTCGTTCCATTATTTAGTTTCCTCATCTGTAACATGAGTATAATGACAATACCTACCTCATAAACTTGGTCACGATGACATCTGACAACACTTTACGTGGTGCCTAATACATAGCAAGGGCTCAGTTAATGTTAGTCATGGTGGTGGTAGTGATGGTAAGTGTTAGTAGATGTTAACCATGATGAGGATGACGATGGTGGCACTGGTAGTGGTCATGATACTAAACAGTGCTTTATGCAGACAATAAAAAAGTTTATAACATTACATCTATCAAATATGCTATATGGCGTATTATCTATAATCTCATCAAGCTGTAGCCATTGAGATTCAGAATAATTTGTAATGTGCTGCTTTCCTGAAGGAGAACAAAGTAGCTAACAACCATTTGGCCTGTATAAGAGCTGTGATACCACCATGCTGCCCAAAACACAATGCCTCACCCCTTTTGTATTACCATACTCATGCCAGAGTACAACCTGGATCTCACCTGTAAATCAGTACTCATGCCCAGTCCTTCCAGCTCATTTCTCTAATTACAGTCTAAACAGTTACTCTCCAGATTGAGTTACTTCCCTAGTAGTCCTTTGGACAACTTCTGTTTTTTGTTTGTTTGGATTGCCAATCTAAACCAAGTCTGTAATGGATTATATTTGGTTATCAGTGACATCTATAACAAAGACTAAATCTTATTTTAGGCAAGACAGTTCTCATAAAACTAAAGCTAAAAGGGACATTTAGACCTGTTAACAGTGGTTACCTCTGGGGAAAGTGTAGAAGGACAAGGGTAGGAAAAAACCTTCACTACATACCCTTTTCTACCTTTTGAATTTTGTATCATGTGGATGATTTCACCTGTTAAATTTAGTAATGATAATTTTAAGAAAATAATTTAAAATGAGAAAAATTCCTAGAACTGACTACAGGGGAATGGTACATGTGTACATTACTCTTGGGGTTGTGAGAAGGTAGAAGGAGTCTCTCTGGTCATCAAACAAGGCAGTAAATTGTACTCTAAATTAAAGTCAGCTATTCTTATAAGGTGGAGGAGACCACAATATGTGAAATGTAATAACAGCAACCTTTGATAACAAACCTTTTCAGAATACCAACTAAAAGTGCAAAAATGTACCCACTGAGCTCTGTGCACATTTCAATACGTTGAAACAGTAGGTGATACTCACAAAATGACTATTTTCCTCTCACTGTTTCAATTACAGATCTGCTTTAAAGGCGCTAGTTTTTCCCAAAGCCAGGTGAAATATCAGACATGTGCCATTGACTTTTCATATCATTCTCAGATAGTTAAAAGTCTTGTCATGCCCGGCCGGGCGTGGCTCAGCAGTTGAGCATCCACTTAGGATCCAGGCAATCGAGATTTGATTCCCAGTCAGGGCACATGCCTGGGTTGCAGGCTTGATCCCCAGTGGGGGGCCGTGTAGGAGGCGGCCAATCAATGACTCTCTCATCATTGATGTTTCTATCTCTCTCTCCCTCTCCCTTCCTCTCTCTGAGATCAATGAAGACAAAAAGAAAAAAAAAAAAGAAACATTTAAAAAAAAAAAGCCTTGTCATTTCATATCACTGAAACCCTCTCATTTCAGTAATTAAAATGTTTTAGGCCCATGTAATACTCCAAACAAGTTCAAGTTAAAGCTTTCTGCTCCTCCAGTCAGCTCAGGTTTGTTGTAGGTGGATAGGCTGCAGTGGGTAAGGGGGCACTGTTAGTTTCTCTGTCTCACCATCTCATGCTTCTCTTCCTTCCCTAGTTTGCCCACCATAGTTTCTGATCCCACCAGTGTCAGTACATGGTGGGAAAGAAAACATCTTCCTTGACCACTACTACTATGATCTAGTGTCAGCACTGTGGGCTCTATGGGTGAGCTGATCCAGATCCATGCTCTCGCCAAAGCGGGGCATGTTTTGGTCATTCAGAGCCCACTTCCTACTGCCCCCCTTATCATTGCATACATCTCCTATCTGCAGTTCTCTTGATTCAAGTGCATGTGTCTCTTCTGGCTAGTGGCTAGCATTTTCTCCATCTGCCCCCAGGCATCTGGCAATACACTTTCAGTCTCTTTAGTTTTCCTAACCTACCTGGGTTGCTTTTGTCAGGGCCCAAGACAGGCCACCCCAAAATATCCACTATGGCATACTAATTACTTTAAGGTCACTTGATAAGCATCCAGTGCCAGAGGGCACCTTGAGCCTCCCTTTTCTCCTGAGTGGAGGAAATAATCTCCCATGTGAAAGGTGTCCTCCCTGCTTCAGGAGGGCTGAAAGAGGCAACCTTATCACTAGAGCTGAGATCCAGAGTCAGAGCTTCTATAGACACTTTATTAATTTACTACTTAAACCCAAACTTTGTTTAGATTCCTCACTAATGAATACCCAAGCCTTGCTTAGATTCCTTCCTAATGAGCACTAACTTTTTTGTCCTGTCAATTCTTTACAAATTATTGTTTGTTTATCTAAAAAGTATTAAAAGGTGCTTGGCTCAGTCATTTCTTCGAACCTCATTTTATGATCTGAGTATTGTAATTCTCTACTGAGCACATATTAAATTGGTTTTTCTCCTTTAATCTACTCTTGTGTCACTTTTATTTTATTACTAGTCCAGCCATAAAAACTATAAAAGTTTACAGGGAGAATTCTCCCCCTCTCTGACACTTTCATGAGCAAAATATAAGGCAACCTCATGCCAGCCCATATCTGCACACAGGAAACACACTTCAGACAATGAGAGCGCAGGTATTTCCCAAATTCAGCCTTCTCTTTAGCTTCATGGACTCTTGCCATAGCCTTTTGTCCTTTAGTTTTATTAGGTGTGGGTCTGATACTAGTGCACTCTGTCCCCAAAGCTCCAAGGGACATATTAGTAGTGTACTGTGTGCCCCACGGTGTCCACCTGATCTCCTTAGAGCCCCTTCTCACTAGGCTTGAGGGGAAGAGCAAGCGCCTCCAGCCCTCTTTCTAGAACTCAAATCACAGCTCTTTAAAGAAATCCTTTCTTCCATTTACAACTCCCCATCCCTTCCCACTTTAACACTTTTATATCTTTGAATGGATGAGGCACCATGAATTCCAAAATCAGTTTTCAGCCAAACATTTGCAAGTCATATATAGATGGTCTGGTAACTCATTTCGGAATGAGAGAGTAGCTGGTAGCTCTAGTCCTGAAACATTAGCTGAAATAGTTCTATTTTAATGTTCTATTATATTTGTCACAGGACACTTGGCTACACAACATGTTATAAAATAAACTTCTGCTAATTTTACCATGATTATCTTTCTGGTTACCATTTGGAAATAATTAAATTGGTATTTTCCCTCTACTTTCAATAGAAGTTAAATTAGAAAAAATGTATACAGCCAACCAAGAAAACTTATCCTTAGGCAAACTGCTTAAAGCAATTATGGGAGACCTTAATGGGTAATGAAATCTTTAGAAGGTACAACCAAAAACTTATTTGAGTACAACAAGAACAATATTAAAATGCTTAAATGTGCCTGTATTAATATATAAATGATAGACAAATACCAATTTTCAAGTCTGGAAAATATGTTGCAGTGATTAATCTGATTTTTAAACCAGGGATCTTTTGAGGTAAATTACATAATTAGTGAGATCACTGGTAGCCAAAGATATATTATCCATTGGTGAATTCAAGAGAAATGCCTAGCTAGTGTGATTCCAGACATTAGGAAATCTTTGTTCCTCATACACATAATGACTCCAAATACCAAATTTACCAACTAAACTTTAAGATCCTAAAGGACAGGGATTATGCCATGTAGTTCTTTCTTTTTTATTTTTTTAATTGAATTTATTGGGATGACATTGATTAATAAAATTATATAGGTTTCAGGTGTACAGTTCTATAATATATCATCTGTATATTGTATTGTGTGTTCACCACCCCAAGTCAGGTCTCCTTCCATCACCATTTATCCCCCCTTTACCCTCTCCTACCTCCACCAATTATTTTCTTATTTTTTTGTCTTCCATATCTAGCAGTGTTATACATACAGATACTTAATAAATATGTATAATTCTAGATTTAAAAAGTAAAATTAATTATACTATACAATATAGCTACTTTATTGAGACATTAAAATGGAAATTTCAACAAAATACAATAGGTATAAAATTCAAAAATGAGAGAAATGCCAGAGATGCCAATTTTCAAAAGAAATATCTGAGAACCTATTTCACAGCCTTAGAAACCCATCATCCATAAAGGTTTTAAGGGGTTAAAATGATGAGTATTAAGGAAGAATTTTGGTTGCAACAGCATGGATGGACCTAGAGAGCATTTTGCTAAGTGAAATAAGAGAGTCACAGGAAGACAAGTACCATATGATTTCACTTATATATAGAATCTAATGAACAAAATGAACTATCAAGCAAAATAGAGACAGACCCATAGAGAGCAGGCTGACAGCTATCAGGGGAGGGGTTG